TCTCTTCATAATAAAAGTCTTGGAGAGATCATGGATTAAAGGACATGCCTAATCATAATAAAAGCAAAGTATAGCAAGCCTATAGCCAACTTCAAATTAAAATGGGGAGAAACTCAAAACAATTCCAGTAAAAATCAGGAACAAGACAAGGCTGTGTACGGTCTCCATATCTATTCAATATAGTACTTGAAGTTCTTGCGAAAGCAATAAGACAATTCATGGAGGTACAAATTGAAAATGAAGATGTTAAAGTATCTTTATTTGCAGGTGATATTATAGTATACATGAGAGACCCAAGAAATTCTACCAGGGAATTCCTACTGCTGATAAGCAGCTTCCAGCAAAGTCACTGGATGCAAGATTAAATCAAACAAACAAAAAAATCGGTACCTCTCCTATATACAAATGACCAACAGGTTTAGAAAGAAATCAGGAAAACAACACGATTCAAAAATAGTCACAAATAATAAAAAATGTCTTGGAATAACTTTAACCAAGCAAGTGAAAGACCTGTATAATAAAAACTTCAAGTCTTTGAAGAAGGAAATTGAGGAAGATATCAGAAGATGGAAAGCTCATGCATGCTCATGGATCTACGGTAGGATTAACATAGTAAAAATGACCATCATACTAAAGTAACCTGCAGTTTCAATGTAATCCCCATCAGAATTCTAACACAATTATTTACAGACATTGAAAGAACAGTACTTAACTTCATATGGAAAAACAAAAAACCCAGGATAACTAAAACAATATTATAAAATAAAAGAACTTCTAGAGGTATCATCATCCCTGATTTTAAGCTGTGCTGCAGAGCTGCAGTGTTACAAACCACGTGGTATTTGTATAAAAAACAGACACATTGATCAAAGGAATCAAATGGAATCCTGGATATAAATCTACACTGCTATGAACATTGGATTTTTTCTTTTTTTTTGGTTTTTCGAGACAGGGTTTCTATGTGGTTTTGGAGCCTGTCCTGGAACTAGCTCTTGTAGACCAGACTGGTCTCGAACTCACAGAGATCCGCCTGCCTCTGCCTCCCAAGTGCTGGGATTAAAGGCATGCAGAACATTGGATTTTTGATAAAGAAGCCAGACATTTTCCTTATCCTTTCATCTGTTGAGGGACATCTAGGTTGTTTCCAATTCTTGGCTATTATGAATATAACGACAATGCACATGTTTAAACAAGTATCCCTGTGGTCGGATGAACATTGGATTTTTGATAAAGAAGCCAGACATAGCCGGTGGAAAAGAAAGCATCATCAACAAATTGTGCTGGCCTAACTGAATGTCAGCATGTAGAAGAATACAAATTGACCATATCTGTCACCTTGCACAAAACTCAAGTCCAAGTGGACCAAACACTTCAACATAAAGCCAGATACTCTGAACCTTATAGAAGAGAAAGTAGGGAATAGCCTTGAACACATTGGCACAGGAGATGTATCCTGAACAGAACACCAATAGCAAAGGTATTAAGATCAACAATTAATATATGGAATCTCATGAAACTGAAGAGCTTCTGTAAGGCAAAGGACTCTACAGTCAGTAGGACCAAAGGGCAGCTATAAAATGGGAAAAGATTTTCACCAACTTCACAACTGACAGAGGGCTAATATTCAAACTATATGAAGAACTCAAGAAACTAGACATCAACAAACTAAATAATCCAGTTTTAAAATGGGGTACAGATCTAAAGAGAAAATTCTCAACAGAGGAATCTCAAATGGCACGGCCAAGCACCACTTAAAAAATGTTTGACCATCAGGAAACTTCAAATCAAAATGACTCTGAGATTCGATCTTAGACCTGTCAGAATGGCTAGTACTAATGACAGCTCATGCTGGCAAGGATGTAGACCAAAGGGAACACTCCTCCACTGCTGGTGGGAGTGAAAACATTTATAACTAATTTGGAAATCAATATGGCGGCTTCTCAGAGAACTGAGCATCAGTTTACCTCAAGACTCAGCTATACCACTCCTGATCATATGCCCAAAGGACATTCCATCCTATCACAAGGACACTTAAAGTCATTTTCATAGCAGCTCATCATACACAGTGAGTAAGCCCAAATGGAGCACCTATGGGCTGTGATAGGCAGTGTTGTGGGCCTAAAGCTTAACGGAATCCCAGATCAGCAAGTATATCTCCTTCCTGCCCAGCATGTAAGGTGTGCCTGTCATTTATATCAGCTGGCTCTCCTGAAACCAGGTAGTACTGTTTACATCTCTAAAGCTGTTCCCATGGCAAAATCTTGTCACTGTAGGAGCCATTCAGAGAGAGTAGGTGAATGAATGCTGAGCAGAATCACTGAGCTTCCATCATCACGTGAAACTGGGATTGTGGAATACAGACAATGGTCTAGACCTGCAATACTGAACATCTCTATGCCCCAAATACATGGGCACCCTCATATGTAAAAGAAGCACTTCTAAAGCTTAAGATTTTCACCAATCCCACATCAGACAGATGGCTGATCTCCAAAATATACAAAGAACTCAAGAAATTGGTCATCAAAAGAACAAATAATTCAATAAAAAAAAATGGGGTACAGACCTAAACAGAGAACTCTCAGCAGATGAATCTAAAATGGCTAAAAGACACTGAAGGAAATGCACAACATTCTTTGTCATCAGAGGAATGCAAATCAAGGTTCTATCTTACACCTTTAAGAATGACCAAGATCAAAAACACTGATGACAACTTATGCTGGAGAGGTTGAGGGGTAAAGGCAACACTTCTGCATTGCTGGTGGGTGTGCAAACTTGAATGGCCACTTTGGAAATCTGTATGGTATTTTCTCAGAAAATTAGGAAACAACCTACCTCAAGACCCAGCAATACTACTTTTGAGTATATACCCAAAGGATGCTCATACCACATGGACATATGATCAACTATGCTCATAGCAGCATTATTTGTCATAGGCGGAACCTGAAAACAACCTAAATGCCCCTTGACCAAAAATGGAAAAAGAAGATGTCGTACATTTACCCAATGGAGTATTACACAGCAGAAAAAAAATGACATCTTGAAATTTGTGGGCAAATGGATGGATCTTAAAAACATCATAGTGAGTGAGGTAACTCAGACCCAGAAAGAGAAATATAATATGTACTCACTCATAAGTGGCTTTTAGACAAAAAGCAAAGAAAAACCAGCCTACAATTCACAATCCCAAAGAACCTAGACAACAAAGAGGACCCTAAGAGAGACAGTGTTTTCTGAATAAATTGGCAGCATGGGGGTCATGGGAGAGGGCAGGAAGGGAGGGGAGTGAAAAAAAATATATAGCTCAGTAAAAATAATGAAAAAGATGAAAAATAAAAAGATTTCCTGTATTCAAAAGAAAACAAAACAAAAAGATACCTATTTAATTTGTACAAATTTGTGTCAGATCTCAAAATCAGATATGATTCCAGTTGGACTCTTTTTTATCAAAGCAACATAAAATTGATAGAAATGAAATGTTCACTGTGGTAATATTAATACATAAACAGTACTTTCGATATAATTGTGTCTTTATTGTGAAGTCTGTCTATTTCAGACTTAATATTTAGAAATAGTAATGGCAGCTTTGTAAGGGTGAGAAGGACTTGAGACAGGAAGATACAGTGTTGGTGACTTGGCCCATCTGTAAGGGGAAGAAGAAGGACCTTGAAAATGCCTCCTTTTCTTGTGGACTAATGTCTCTCAACAAAGACTCTAAAACCAGTTCACAGATCTATCAGTAAATGAAAGAAACAAAGAAACAGATGAGTAGCCATGCAACACTGGATCCATTCCTGAAGCCTTCAGATAGGAGAATTTAGTGAGGTCTCATGGACCATCCTGTGACTGAAGCGCATCACCTCCTTTCCCCTTCCACACCCGCTCCAGAGATACTTGAGTGCCCTTCTTGCACTAATTTTCCATGCTCAGTACCTTCCAGACTTTTAAAAATACTCCCAGGGTGGCTTGGCCCTGATCCTCCCCTGGCTGCCTCTGAGAGTCGGTGCAGTTAGCCCTGCTTGCAGAAATACAGCGACTCCTGGCTAAAATCCTTTGGAGAGCATGGATCGCTTCATTGAGCATTCCACCGCCATTTCCTACCTACTTTCCGCGCTGTCAAATGGGGTAGTTTCCTTGTTGGACTGTAATATGTGTGCGAATGGGAGCCGCGCCTGGGAACGTGCCTGACACATGCTCTCTTCTCTGTAAAGGGGGTATCGTCAGTGTTAGGTTAATTAGCCCTGTCTGATTGCCCCGACCAGCAGAATAGTTTCCATGGAAAGCAAAGCCGGGCCGACGGAGCATGGCTGCCGCACGTCGGAAAGCTTATACCACATCAAAGGCTTTGCTTCTAGCCTTCTCTCCAATAATCTGAAGAGACAGGGATCCTCTATCTACTGTTGTTTTAAAGGTCATCTTGAATTGATTCTGCCCCGTATCGTATAAGCATATCTATTTGTTAACCTGGATGCTTGTATCAGAATGGCTGACATTTTGGCAGGACACTTGCTTCAGTAATTTTGTATTTCAGGCAAGAAAATAGAAATTCTTAGAGGAAAAGTAATTTTAGTAACTAGAGAATTTAATAGCCGCTCTATTTTAATTCTCCCAGTTATTTGGTATTAATTTCCTATAAATGCGTCCATATGTGCAATGCTGTACAAAGATTCTATGAAGAAGTGTTGGCAACTATTTGATAAACTGTCTTCTCTAATTTTCTACTCCTGGACTTACTTTCATCCATTCTGAAATAATCAGTACTTTGCTTACAGTCAAAATATTTTCAGTCAACAATACTTAGGATATCTAGAGAAAAGGTCAGCGTGGAGTAACAGAGCCTGGAAGGATGCATCTGAGTTTGGTTGGTTTGTTTCAGCAGGTAATTTAAGTTGTTTTTCTGGTCAGGAACCAACTGAAGTATATAAAACATGCCATAAACCTGAGGTCCTATTTAGTGAATTTCTTCTTTGGTCTGATTTCTGTGTTTTTGCTTGTGTTTCTAGGCTCAGCTATGTAAATCATGCCGAAGATTTGGCTTCCAAGCTTCTACAGTGTTCCCCAAAGAACAGGCTATCTGCACAGGCCGCCTTGAGCCACGAGTATTTCAGCGATCTGCCCCCGCGGCTATGGGAGCTGACCGATAGTGAGTAGGGCCCATCTGCAGCGTCCAATCAGAGCACTTTGTCCTCAATATGTAGCTTGCATATAGACAGATGGCCTCATTCATGTGTACATAAGCATATTGCTATGGGGTTATGTATATATGTGTATGCGTTATGAGACTGTGTGCGCGTGTATGTATTATGAGTGTGTGTGTGTGTGTGTATGTGAGAGAGAGAGAGAGAGAGAGAGAGAATGTCATTGCTCAAGCCAGAAGGGGGATCATGTGTATATATATTTATTGGAGTCCTGCCATTCAATTGCTAGCTTACCAGACACAAAAAGAAAATGGATTCATTTTTTGCTATCTCTGCTCTGCAGTCTGCAGCTGCACGTCTTTGTATTTGATTATGTGTGTGTCCAAAAAATGATCTGAGCAGTCATAAAGGCAAAGGAAAATATGATTTACATATTTAGTGCTTTCTGTACACAGTGCTATTTTAACTGGCTGCAGTACACAGAGGAAAAATGATTCATTTCTGTTTGATTTTCAGAGACCATCTTGGTTGTAACAATAACCTTAAAGAGCACTGTTAGGCAGGGAGCTGAAGAGCAGAGCTGGCAATTGGCTGATGTACTGAGCTGGCATGTAAGAACTGAAGACATGTAATTCATTTTAACTGCACATGCTCTTGGTATTTGTACAGACAGCTCTTCTCTAGATCTTTTTAAAACAAAACACATTCCTGGGTGGGTTTTTGTTTTGTTTTTACAGAAGTGCTCATATTTGCACAGACTTTTCCAATTACATTTAAAGTATTCAGGGAAGGATTTATGGCTGGGCGGATCTCAGCTTTCTTCCCAAGTGTGAAACAGAATTCTTGTGAAATTTTAAAATACACTGTGGCAGCAGTAGGAATATATTTATTCAATGATGATATGTTCTTTCCAAAAGACCCATTAGAGATATTTCTTAACATATTTTCCTGATTGCCTTAAAATAGCATACTACATAGATGCATAAATATTTGTAATGGTTTTAATAATTCCTGTACATACGTCACTTAAAAGTAGATGTGAAGTTACTGCCTTTGTCTCTAAGAGTTTTGGCTACCCCTGCAGTATTGGATTGGATTCTCCATAGCAACAGTCACAATCACCCTCGATTTTGGCACTAAATCCTATGTAACAATTCCCTTGAGCCTTCTCAAGCTAAATTAGATAGATAGATCCATAGATATATAGATATAAATGATAGATAGAGAGATAGAGAGATAGAGATGATATAGATAGATGATAGATATATAAATAGATAGATAGATATAGATGATAGATATATAGATAGATAGACAGACAGTGATAGAGATAGATAGATAGATAGATAGATAGATAGATAGATAGATAGATAGATAGATAGATATCTCACACTATTTCTATCCATTTTCTTGTAGCCCTAAGGTAACTGTAGACGTATTGACCTAATTCTCTCCTTATGCTTACAAATCTTCTGTAACATCTCAATTATTCCTAGCCTATATTTCCTTTATCATCCATACTACTTCCTTTCCAAAGATCTGCCATCTATTACAGCAGTGATCCCAACCTTTTAAAGAAAATTCAAGATTAAAACCTATGAAAAAACAAAACAAAATAGTGAATTGATCATGCATATCTTTATACTTTCAAAAACAAAAGGTGCAAATGGGATCATTAGTGTATGGCTTCCTGAACTTCAGAACTGAGGATTGTTTTCCCCATGCGGTATAGCTTCCACCTTGATCTCACCCCTCCTTAGCGACATATCAATCCCAGTCAACCTGATGGCTGGGTTTAAGTCAAATTTTGAGGGTCTGCGAATTCTGAATTCTGTAGTAGTACTTTCCTGTTAATATGGACTTATTACCCCCTTGCCACTTAGTTTATCAGCCGGTGGTTAAATCCAGTTTCTGTAAGGGAGTAAATGCCTACACATTATCACTGAGCAGCAGACTGCCAACCGAGACAGCCTTGCCCCCGTCATTAACAAGTGCAATGTATGCAGAACACCAGAGGGGAATTAAAACCACAAAAAATACCTCAGGGTGGTATTTTTAATATGAGAATTTAATTTGTAATTTCACAGATTAAGAATTTTGGCTGCATTAATCCCTTTATCAGCTCACAGCAGGCCATTTGCAGAAGCATAACCATAAGGCGATATTCATTGGCAGAAACACGTCTCTGCATAACGTTAAACATCACGAGCAGTGAAACCTTTTGAAGGGGGGAGAATAAAGATGAAAAATCATTATATTTTTAAAGCGAGATTCTACTAAATGCCTCCGGTAACAATTTTGAGTTACAGAAATGCTATTTCTGCGTCTAGAAGATAATCATTATGAAGGATAAATCCATTCGCAAGAAAGGACAATCCCAGTATTAAATACTATAGTCATTTCCATTTAGAACAACGTGGCTGCCCTTGTAAACATGTTTGCAAAACAAAGAATCCCCAGACTTATGCGACTTCAGGAATTAGGCTGCTTGACTCTTGTGTGAGTTTGTACTTGACTGACTGTACTCGGAAATTTTCAGTCTTCACATAAAACTTCAGATTTGTGTAGTTTTTTTGTAAAGTTCACTGTCCGGCAAATGGCAGAGTTGGTGACAGCCACAGAACCTTCATGTCTTCCCTTTCAATAGCATTTGGGGGAGGATGGACCTGCCAGTACTGCAGAACCAACAGAAGGACGAGTCCACAAGTGGTGGTGCTGATCCCCAGCCTGAGGAACCTGCTATCTTGGTCAGCTCACACTGTCATGAGGAATTAGCACAGCGGGGGAGGCTGAAACAGTAGATATTTATCCTCATAGTTCCAGGGATAGACAGAAGATGAAGATAGACTGCTTGATTCTGTTCCTGTCCTCAGGCTGGCAGAGGCCTGCCCTGCTTGGTCCTCATAGGGAGAGGAACATGTTTCTGCTCTTCTTCCTATAAAGCTACTAATCCCATTGTGAGGACCACTCCCTTCCTAAGGTCATCTAAGCTTCTGAGCTTCATTACCTCCCAAGGTCCCATCCCCAGATACCAACACATCGGGGCTGGGGCCACTAACATCAATTTGAAAGGGGGCCCAATTCATTCCACAAAGCTCTTTGTCTCTGATGGCTCTCAGCACTTTATAGAAGAATGTCCACAAGACAACCACACCAAAACAACTTAAGGCAGAACCTGAAATCAAGCTAAAAGGAGAATACTGGTCTCCAGCCTTGGCATGCTTTGGTTAATCAGACCCCATGTGTGTGCGGCCCACATAGGTATGAGAATCCATGGAGTCGGTGGAGCTGTTTGGGACCAGATAATAGGGCTGATACGGCTGATCTGGATTCTCCAGGAACAGGGCTAGGAAGTGCAAAACTCAGCTGACTTCTCCAAATGGTCACTGAAGCCCATTAGAACATTTATTGTGGCTATGTAATAAAATTTAGAAGTGAAGAATTAGTGTCACCAAAGTAGGAAATAAAATAAATACATCAAGGGAAAGAAATTGAACAATCGCCTAGGGATCTGCCTGACAGTTAACGCTGACCAAGGGCATTCTCTTCCTGTCCCCAAACCCCAGCAGCCTTGCTCTACTTCTTCAAAAAGATTTAATTGCAGGGCAGTAAATAGAGGCTCATTTAGAAGAAATTCATTACTTTCCCCAAGCACACCACGGCGCATTCTCCTGTGTATACTGTCAAGTTACATAAATAATTGAAGCTGAACTATGCTTGTCAAAGTAAATGAACAAAATATACTTCACAGCACAGAGTCCTTGATTTTATTACATTCATTTGCTAAGTCATAAAACTCAAATCTCCTAAAAGAAGGCCGGCAAATTGATTCGGTGTGGAGATCACTGAGCAGGACCTCAGACTGGAAGTTCAGCTCCCCGGGTCTTGGTCAGGCAACTGTGGACATGGGCCTTCGTCCCTCTGTGCTTTCCACTTCTCATTCAGAGAGTGAGCTGAGGAAGGCATGGTAGTCTTGAGGGACCCTCCCAGATGTAATATGCAGCTTTACCCGCATGGTCCTCTATAATACCTTAACACCGCAAGGCCGCCATCTTTTTATGAGTGTAGCGAGCACACCTGTTTTCTTCTTTCGTTAATTAATAACTTTATTTGAGACAGAGTTTCACTGTATCAATAGACTGACCTTGCACTCACAGAGCTCCTGGCCTGCATCTGCCTTGCAGTGCTGGGATTAAGCTCCTGCATTACCGAGCTGCCCCACTAGCGCACTTACTTCAAAAGGCTTTGCTGTTTCCCTTTCCCGTTGTGTCTTGACTCTTTCCCCCCAGGCAGCAATAGCTCTTATGGTGCCATTTCAACACCTCTGTCTTTGCGGGGTTCCCCAGCTTTCACGTTGATCTGTCACTGGAATTTCACACAGTATCTGCCACCTCTTTCTGCTGACACTTGGTTTCCTGGACAGGATTCTTTCACGGTTTCCTTTTCATCTCCTAGGTCTATCCTCTGCAAGCTCTTCTCCTATGCCAGGCTGGCAGGCTGAGGCACATGGTTAGTGTTCCAATGTGTCCTCCTTAGACCTTCCGGTCTGGCTCACTCCCTAGAGCTGGGTAATTCCACCCAGTCTCGAGATGTAGATATCATCCAAACACTGGGGGCCCCTGAAGTCCCATTCCTAGTCCTCGCTCTCCTGACTCTCATAGTAGATACTGAAAAGGTAGGATTACTAGATTCAGACTCAAGCTTTTCACCCCATCTTGCTCCTGCTGAATTCCTGCTATTGAGAGTAAATGGCAACACCATCTTTCTGGGTGATGGAGGCGATTGTTGTTTCCTCGGCTCCTGTCCCGTGCCTGCACAGAGCCACACCAGCCCACAGCTCACCTTGCCGCTCCCCTCCTGTATATTCACAAGAGCTCAGACCCCTTCCCCTGCCTCCCTGAAGTCAGCTCTGGCTTCTCCTCTCTCCATTTTTTGGGGCTTGCTTCCCCTCCGGGTTTGTCTGCCCCCTCGCCTTCACATGGCTGCTCAAACATACCTTCTCTATCAGGGACTGCTCTGACCGTCTCTCCAACATCTGCTTTTTTCCTTCTCTACTTTCCTTCTTCACAACACTTACCATTATTTATTAGATGTGTTTAGTTGTTTGTTTTGTCCCCCTCACAGTCAGAAGGTCGCAAGCCAGCATTTCCTTCTCCTCTGATTTGTTTGCTGTAGGAATCTACGATTCCCAGGAAATGTTAGAGTAACAGCCTACTTCTGTCATGAATGGCTGAAAGAATGGCAAAGGCTTGTCTCCAAATCCAGGTTTAGTGTTCTAAGATCATAGAAACAGGATCTGTGGCTCTGTGTTGTGCAAGTGGATATGTGTGTACGTGTGTATGTGTGGAAATGTTTATAGTTGTGTGTGTGCTTTTGACCACTGGCATTTCAAACGCAAACACATACCACAGTGTGCCCCATGCTGGGAATCCAGACTGCACTGTAGTCTCCATTTCCCTTTAGACGAAATGGTGTCAACGTGCTTATAGCTGTGTTAATGGAACCTTCTCGTTCTCTCCTCAGTGTCTTCTATTTTTACGGTCCCTAATGTGAGATTGCAGCCGGAAGCTGGAGACAGTATGAGGGCCTTTGGGAAAAACAATAGTTATGGCAAAAGTCTATCGAACAGCAAGCACTGACAAGCCCGGCATTCTCAGGAGAGCACAGGTAAGAGACGCTGCTTTACTGGAAAGTAATATTCATAATAGGCATGGAAGAGACCTATTCACTGAAGTCTTTCAGCCTCATTTCCCCCGGAAACTGTCTTAGGAGTTCCATGGGCTATTCTGGCATTCATCGAACATTTGGCTGGGGCAGAGACCAATCAGGACTGTCAGTGTTTTCAGGCACCACCTAGGCTGTGAGCCAAGTTCCGCTGCGTCATGTGCATTAGTAATGCGGTCACATGCAAACCATTGAGTCACGAGTGTCTACTTTAACTGATCTTGAATTCATCACCGATGTTAGGAAAGTTCCACTTTGACCTGCACCTTTTGAGCATGAAGCTGTTTTGTCTGACCAATAAAATTTTTTTTAAATTATTTACTGTCATTTTAAAATGAGGATATTTCATATGGACGTCTCGATTTCCATGAAGCATCGGCAACTCTGACAATACTCCTTCTATTCCTTCTTAAAATTTTATGTGTGATAAGGAGAAGCCCTGTCCCTGTTTTAAAATAAGCTGACCACTGGGCCCTCATTGGTTTCCGATTCCTGTCTGGCCCCTGCCACAGACCTATCATAGTAAAGCTTTGGTTTTCACAGTTTAGTTCTTTGACCTCTACTGTTTTGCAGGTAGGAACTGTAAACTAGCTTGGTGGTGTCCAGGCATGTCAGCCTACCAAGTCATCCCACATGCCCAGTGGCCAGCAGAAGACAGCAGTGTCTGGGAGGTTGTGTCTTTCTGGGTTACCAGAGAGCAATGTCTGGAAGGTTGTGTCTTTTTGGGTTACCAGAGAGCAATGTCTGGAAGGTTGTGTCTTTCTGGGTTACCAGAGAGCAATGTCTGGGCTTTGTAACATCTCCCTCTGTTTGTTTGTTTGTCATTTCAAGTAAGGGCTTCTGTGTAGCCCTGGCTGTCCTGGAACTCCCCCTGTAGCCCAGGCTGGCCTCAGACTCAGAGATCTATCTTCCTCTGCCTCTTGAGTATTGTGATTAAAGGCGTGTGCCACCACTGGCCAAATCTCAGTCTTCGGCAAATGGAGAAAGAGCTTCCCTTGTGAGGAAGCATTCTTAATGTTGGTTTCTGTTAAGCATGTTCATCACTTCTGTGTCCCATAAATGCCAAGTAAAGTGAGCTGAATGATGTGTACAATAAAAACTCTGCACACGTGTGTGTGTGTGTGTGTGTGTGTGTGTTTGTGTGTGTAGGGGTGGAATGGGAGTGTAGGCCGGAGATTGATACCAAGTTCTTCCCTCAATCTCTGTCCACATTATTTTTTAAGACAGAGTCTTTCCTTGAACCTGGAACTCTTTGATTCAGGTAGACTAGCTGTCCAGCAAGCCTAAGGGATTCTTCTGTCTCTGCCTCCCTAGTATTAAGATTATAAGTATGCCATGTTTGTCTTTTTTTTTTTAAATGTGTTTTGGGGAATGGCCTGATTTTCTTCTATTTGAAAATCTGGTAAGAAGCTAAGTGGACAGATGGCAAGGACTGTAAATTCAAATATATACCCAGCCCTGTGAAAGACCTGCCAAGTGTCTTTGGCGATTTTAGAACTTAGCTTTTCATGCTCTCAGCATGGAGTTTAATTTTGCTGGCCTAGGGATGCAGTAGAGATTTATGTTGATTTGGAAGGGGAAAAAAAGATTCCTAGTTAAAATATGTCTTGTAAAGGCTGGCCAGGAGCTGCTGCTCTTAAGCCTGCAGCTCCACAGGTAGCCTCATGTTTCCAAGAGTGGGTTGATTCATGAGAGTTGTATGTGGCATGCACATTTTAAAAGTGTTTAGCTCCCACACTGCAGACTCCTTAGCTGATTAGGTAGAAAGAGAACAAAAAGTGGGCCCCGTTTTATTGACACATGCACACAGGCAAGTCTGTCTTTCCACCCCAGGACCATACATGTCCTTTCTTCTTGACTCCTCTGAATGCTCCTGACCGATGCAGTCAAGGCTGCAATGATGTGTTCGAGATCAACTCATCCTTGTAGAAATCAAAGAGACCTGGCTGAACAGAGCATTGCCCGGGAAGATTCAAAACTGGCTGGTTTACAAAGGTGCTTGGGACTGCAGCCGCAGACCTTATAGATCGTGTAGTGCTTCCTCACACCAGATCCAGAGTTGGATCCACAGTGCATGATTCCCTCTACAAGTGTTTGACAACAGTACATGGACATTCCCTATGAGTGTTGGCCCTGTTTTATCACCTTGAAGGCTTCAGTGCTACTGCTGCTCCAGCTATGACATCTGATTCAGTAGGCCACTAAAGCAAGATCTCAATTCTTTTCAGAAAAGCTGTTGGAACACTGGATTCTGTCAATAGAAAAATAAATCATCTTAGTATCTTATTTTTGCAAGTATGACTACCAAATGTTTCGATGTTAGAGATCAGACAATGCAGCCTGTTTGTTGGTCCCCGGCAGCATATGGTGTGGCTTCTTTCTGACCAGTAGATGAATTCCAAGCTAAAAGTCATGTTAATAAGTGCTTCTCAGGAAGAAAGAAGATAAAATCCTCTAGTCTTTGATTTTCTGATTTTTTATTTATTTGTCACATGTTTATAGCAGTCTGTGGCATATTCAATTTTACAAGAGTATATCAGCTTTTTTTAATAATACCCACAGTGACTGGGAAGCAGAAAGAGGGGAAGAGCCTGAATACAGGCTAGAGTTTTAGCCACCTCCCTCTGGTGATCAGCAGGGCTCTTAGTGTGGAACTTGCATTATGCCGTGCTGTTTTTGAAATAAAAGGGACTGGGCAGGCAGGCATGCTTCAAGTCCTAATATTTCTCCAATACCTCAATGCCACGCTATTTCCTTCCTCGCAAACTAAGGTCACTTCAATTATTCAGTTAATAATGTTGGATTTACATAAATTGGCCTTAGTGGAAAAGCTAATGAGATGCATTTTGCTATGCAGAAGAAAGCAATTTGGGTTTTAGAGTCTTGTAGCAAAATTAACTGAAAAGAAAGCTGCAAGTTCCTGGGTTAAGAGTAGGGGTAACCGCCCCTGGGGATTGAAGCAGAGTCCCTACATTTTGTGATTCTCTAGAGACACCCCAGCTGTTTCAGAGCTTGTGACCACTTGTTTGGTCACCACGAAGAGTTGACTGAGATCTGAGGGAGTCTCAAATATACATAGAAATTTTCTTTTATGAAGTGTAGGGATAAGACATCCCTTTTACAGCAAATCAGTTGGTCTTCAGACTCCATCAATCTCCATGTAAACTCACAAAGAACGTGTCTAGTGCGCGAAGTAATACTGTTTGCTTCAATTGCAAGAGGTTCACTCTGCCGGCGTTGGCGGCCTCCTTCTGTTTCAGCACGTTATCGTTCTTCGTCTGCATGATTTAAGAATTACCTGGTAATGAAACAATGGTTATTCTCTCTTTGCCTACCTCAGTCAGTAAACAGTTATTTCCTAAAAGTGGTTTCTTAGGTAAAGAGATTAGAGTTAATTGCTCAAGAAACGTTCATTGAATAGGATCAGGATAGTTTATTTGGTATTTTGTTTGTTTGCCATATTTGCTACACTCTCTGAAAATGGACATCTCACATTCCGGGATACCAAATGCTTGCAGAGTTTGCAACTTACTTTCTAGGGCCCATGAATCTATATTTTAAGAAACTCCAATGGTCATTAATTGATAACTGAAAGAGAGAGAATCAATCTTCCCTGGGTTGAACTCCCTAATTGGTTACCTAACACCTGGTAGTGGTCACCCATAGACAATGTATACACAGGAGCAAACTAAATGGACTAGGTAGACTGAATTTATATATTTTTTGGTTTTGTGTGTGTGTGTGTGTGTGTGTAACTATACTAACCAAAGAGGTCAAAAAGAGTAGAGCAGGGTACTGGATGGGCTGGAGAAAGGAAATGACATAAGTACAATACTCATGCATAAAATTATTTAATTTAATTTAAGAACTTGAGGGGAGCACAGATAGTGATGTCTTCACTAGATATTCAGGGGTTATAGATTTATAAGGTAAAATAAACAACTTACTTGAGTTAGGACAGGGTAAAGATAAACTAGGAAAATAGCATTTTATCACATGAACTAAAAAACTTAATTGTCTTTCTATTAATCTCTCCCTTTCCCCTTTCTTCCTTTTCCATAAGAAAGAATGGTGTAATGGAATATAATACAGTAACTGTGTGCCTATTTACAATTATTTTTAATTAAGTTCAGTTCTCCTTCAGTATCTCTTCCTTGGTAGAATTTTGAGTGCTGGGTAGTTGAAACCTATGGTCACTCTGCAGTGCCCTCTGGGCAGTACTGGTGGAGAAACACTTCTCTTATCCACCCTTTAAAGGAGAAATCAGGAAAAATGAGCTGAGTTTATTGCTAGATTCAGATCACTTCAGAAGAACACCCTGTGTTCAAGAGAGGAACAAGGCACATGGCAAAGCCAGAGGAATAGAGGCAGAGCAAGGAGACAGGAGAGACACAGCGCTCGGTGCTCTCGGGAACAGACATGAAGGGAGGCTAGCAGGGGCATTCCTCCAGTGAAGTGCCCCAGTGACACCCTCAGTTAGCTCTGGGCAAGAGGAGGGGCACAGACAGGCTTCACAAAGACGGGACAGAAGTCAGTAGTAGCCGTAATCTGTCTGCCATATTGACTCTGGAAACTGCTCCAGGATATGCAGCCACCAGTGGCTCTCCTCCATGCTGTGACATTGTAGTGGCTCACACTTTTGGTCCCTGTCAGCTCGTACTGCCCCCGTCTTCCCTTTCCTTTGTGGCTTCTGCTGCCTGCTTTTGCTTACTCTTGGATCCATCTTCGTCTCTCCTCCCTTTGTCCGACTTCTGGAGGAGTTGACTGCTGGGCTCTTACTGCCTTAGATTCTAAAACCCTCCTAGAAAGCAGCTCCGGTTTTTATATTTCATAACCATCATCAAGAAGAAGAGAGTGAGACTGTTGGGTCAACCACCCCTTTATATGCTACAACCTGATCCCAGGCCACTTCAAGGTCAGGACTGAGTCTGGTTCAGTTCACC